ATCCCATGGGATGAGGACGTGACATGATACAATTAAACAGTAAAATAAAATTCTTATAAACTAAATATTATATAAATTTCATTCTTTTTTTTTACTGAAAAATATAGTAGAAATGATACAATATTATAATATATTCCCCAACTTGCAACAATGAGAAAAGTTTTTCATGTACATGATAAAGAGATATTATATATTTAGTACAAAATATAGGCAAAATATAGATGCAGATATGTATCACACTAGCTTGGTTATAGACTAAATGCATGTTGGTAAATTAAAGAATCTCATAATTTCTAACCAAAAATTTCATAACAAGAAGGTCTTATGGCGTAAAAGCAAAAAAAAATCCTATATAAAAAATATGTCATTTATTTAATTGAAGATTAATCATTCTTGACAGAGCCATAATAGAAGAATTTGTTTGTAAGGAGAGATGCATGCTACCTCAACCAATTTATAATATATCTAATAAAGGGAAATATTGATCACATTCATTGATAACAATTTTCTTAGAAATAATAACTTCTATGACAAAAAATTATCATTACAATGGTATTCACCATTTATCATATTAGCAACATTATCATTAACACACATAAGTCCTATAAATGTATTTTTTAAAGTTGTGTTGGACCATATGCATTTTGATTCTTCTAGAATGGAACCTAATAGCGACCTATTTATTATTTTTTGGTGGAACGTTTGGAAATATACAAAAATGATTGTGTTGCAAATAATTTTGAAAGTACATAAAAAATAATTAATATAGTGGCTAACTTAATGATATCAAATGCTCAATAAACTACAATGTCATGTCATTTTTTTTCTCCCCAACGTTTTCAAGAAGATAGTGTCAATCTATATTATGATAGTAAAAATTTCAATAAGACTGTGCACCACCATTATTTAGAAGCATGCTATAGTCTTAATATGTCATTAGAAGGTGATATGATGCATATCAACGGAGGTCCTATAACTCAACATTCATAGATGAATTTAAAGAAAGAAATTTGACTAAATTAAGTAGTTGCTTTTAAAGATGAAATAAATCATTTCCTTCATATAAATGCATTCCTTATATCAAAGTATAAAGAAGAGTTTATAAATGCCCTACAATAAAACATTATGTAGTTTTCTCATTTTTATTGTAGAAAAGTTTGAAGTCAATATAGATGATGCATATCATCATGTAACATTTATAAATATGTTGAGCTTATAATAAAAATTCTTGTCACTTTGAATTTGGAATAACCTATTTAATTGGAAGTGTGAGGGTTGCAATCAAAGATTGTCTTCATCTTAGATTAAAAATTAAAGATTTTTATTTTATATATGTAATTATGTAAATTTTCAACAAGAAGAATAGAAATTGCTTAGATCTTATAAATTTGAGATTATCTCATCTAAAAGGTAACTTTTCTTTCATGCATATACACATAATTTGATTTGATAGTTAGAACTCTAATAATAAACATCTCTAATGCTCATTTAAATATATAAAATTAAAATGCATCCCATTAATATTACAAAGATAACTTTAATTCTTGGAAATATATTACATTATTACAACCTCATGACATGTTATGATTTGAACATTGTAGTGAAATTATATTGCCCATATTGGATAGAATTTTTGAATGCATTTACATTAAAAATTGGGGGGAAAATTCATGGATTATTTATCATTAATTCTTCTTGCTACTAATTTTGAATGTAGAAAAAATAAAGATGCATTTTTAATAATATACTTGAAAACTTTTAGTCCTTACCAAGATTGAGTGGACAAAAGAGTAACAAGAGACTAAGATTATTGACTCACATTTATTATAAGATAGCAAGCTGCCATTTATGGTTTTAATCATTACTAAAATAAGGAAACTAATCTTTAAAATATATCATTCCAAAAAAAAAAAAAATTATATATGATAAGCATAAAAATATTCATAGATAAATTGAAAGTAAGTGTACCTATCTAGAAATATCACAAAAGACAAAATTTGAAGCTCTAAGGAACTATGTAGTGTGAAAATCCTAAAATTTTGAACCCATCATATAGTGAAGCAACACATGCAAATCCACAAACTTTAAGAAGAATAATTCTGTGTTGATAATTTATTGTAAGAAAATATTAGAAGAAATAAATAATTTATAAATTAATAAAAAATGTACTATCTTTACTAACATTTAGACTTTCATGTAATGAGTACATGTGGTGTAAGAATCATTGGAGTTAAATTTAAATTCTTTTTTTTTTTCAGTATGGAGTCTGACAGTTAGAGAAAAAATTTCAAGAATCTATTGGTTAGGAGACTAGGACATATATAACATATGATGCATAAATATCTTATTGTGGAAGTAGAGATAATATGATTGATAAAGTGATGAGAAAGCAAGTAGTTGCATTTACTAAAGACATAAAAGTTTAAATAAATACACTATCACCTAAGGTGAAAGCAATACACCTATAATAATAAAGAAAAAAATAATAAGAGAAAGAAGAGGAGCATGTTGATGAATTAAAAGTAGATTAGTGAGAGAGTGAGATTAAGTAACAATATATGATATCGATTTTACTATATTGCTTGTTGTGTGAGCTAAAATATTCAAAATGATATAAGTATTTGTCAATGTTCTTGTTGCTCTTTGAAATGATACAAGCATTGTTTTTAATGAATATTTTTGTCAAAATAAATGTCAAACAATGATGAATCATGAATGCATAAGGCTTGATACATCACTGTTAGGCTTACCAATAATTTTTTGTAAACAAAATTCTACTAATTCCTTGCCACTAGAAAAAAAATCTATGGAGACTTGTATATTCAAGTGATTGTGCATTTTTGCAATATCATTTTTTTGTTGGGTATCCTGACAGACAAACATTAAAAATTTTACCAAAGTGATGACGACATCATTGAAACAAAACACATCTTGACATGTTATAAATGTGATGAAGAATGATAGAGAAATACTAAATTGTTCACAAAGTTAGGTGATAATTGGATTGTGATAGTTATCTAACGATGGTGGTTGGGCAAAAAAAACACAGGTTGTGAAGGTTGGGCAATGCTGGACGAACCACAATGATAGTTAATGAACAATGGTAATTGATAAAGGCTTTCAGATGACTTTGGTCCAGCCATGATGATTTAGCAACACTCTTTTAAATTTAAGTCAATTTTATGTAAAGAATAAGAATCTAGTTATATTTTTATAGAAGATAAATTTTGATAATATTAGCTTAAATTCTAAAATAATCCATTGAATAACTACTGTTATTTCTTTTGATCATAAACTAGTTTTTTAGTATTAGAAATATTTAATTTGGATTTATTGGTTTTAATTTTCCTATATTTCTCTTGTTGAGACGCTTGTTTTGATCATAAGCTTTTAAGATTAGAGAATTTTTTTAATTCATCATTTAATGTTGCAAATTTCAAGTTCTTGATTGGGCTCATTTGGCCTTGGATCACAGCACATTAATATAATGTTGTTAGGCTTATCTTAAAAAAATGTTCATTTTGACAATAGGTTTATAAAAATTGAAATTAAATGTTTCTAAATTATTTTTTAATCTTTTTATTCAAATACTTAAGGCATTTAGATTTGGGTTTTATCAATTGAACTTTGAACACTATCATTTTGCTTTGCTTTGAAATAAATATAGTATTTGGTTAATCCATGTAAATTAATTCATATTACACTTCTTTTACAATACTAGATGCGTCTCCAACAAATTATTATCATCCAACATGGTTCTTGAGGCATAGCATGAATCTCGAGGCAACTTTTTTAGCAAGATACTTACAAACTTTAATTAGAACTCATCCAAAACTCTGATTTCAGCAAACTTATGGACAAATTGACTAGTTCGATGAGACGACCCCAACTATACTAAAATCAGTTCAATTAGAGTCAAGTCAAGCCTAGATTAAGCTCTTAAATCACATTTGGAAGGTTTTCGGGTATAATTGGAAGATTGAATAGATTATGAATATGACAAACTTATAATTAAATCGAGTTCTAGATAAGATAAATCCAACGAGCACAAGATTAAGATTGCTCAATTCTGATATCATTTAAGCAATAAAATATTCATTAAACGTCGTCCAATCAAAGGAGTCAGTTTGGACTGTCCCATCAAAAGTGGCCTGAATTTCTTTCTTATTTGCAAGTCGGACTCTATGAATAGAGCCCTACCCCACTCATGAGAAAGGGACCAGAAGCTAAAGCCTGAAAAAGCCAGAAGGTTGGAGAAAGAGTCGAAGTCTAACAATACTTCTCCACCGCTGGCGCTACATCTTCCGGCAACCGTCGCCTCCGCCTGTCATCACCGATCACCGTCATCCGCCATCTATTCCTTGCGACGAAGCACCATACAAAATAACCTACGAAACAACACATCATCCCAGACATCATGCTAACCCGGAAGATGGTGCATTGAAGCCCCAATTATTGCTCCTACTTGCGATAACTTTTTACCGCAAGGCCATAAGTCTTGCCTTGCACTGACGCACTGACGTTGTAACTTGAAGGGTTGCGTAACCCTTTATGTCTATGGGACAAGAAGTTGTATCTGTAATCACAAACTCATAGTGAAATATTTTAACTGAACAGGACCCCGTGGTTTTTTACCTTTCCAGATTTTCCAGGCACAATCTGCTCATAGTTTCTATCATCTAAGCATGTGTCGGATTCTCGCGCAACATTAAAATATTAATTAATCACTCTTCTAATTTAAATAAAACTAACTCTAATGAAAATCTTTCCATGACATATCCTAATCCCTTTATTTATCCTATTTCTTCGAAGCACAACTGCTACTTATTTATTCATTTAATTTGAGAAGCCAAATACGAAGCAGCGTCTCAGCAGACCCGCAGCCCTCATCCCACGTGATCAAATCAATCAATTACGTTCCGTTAACGTCTCCTCCTTTTTCCACCCCATAAAAGACGCCGCCTCTCCTTCCCCGCCATTAAATTTCCTTCATTCCCTTCCCTTCCCTTCCCTTCTCTGCATGCTGACCATGAACAAGCAAGAAGATATCTTCACCAGAAACTATCTGCTTCCTAACTTCACTGATGGCTTCTTCTTGCATGAGAATTCTAGCAGTGATTATGCTCTCGGGGGAGTGGAGGAGGATCATAAGAAGAAAATAATTGAAGAGGGAAGAAAGGAGAGGGAAGGAAATATGATTCTGAGCGTTGGGGGGAAGAAGAAGAAGAAAGGGGAAAAGAAGGTGAAGCGGCCGAGGTTTGCTTTTCAGACCAGGAGTCAGGTTGATATTCTCGACGATGGTTACCGTTGGAGGAAGTATGGCCAGAAAGCCGTAAAAAATAATAAGTTTCCCAGGTACTTGTTTTGCAATAAGTATGGCTAGAGAGTAGTACTGCTAGAGAGTAGTACGGCTTTCTGGCCATTCCTCCTCCAACGGTTATCGTTGGAGGAAGTATAGCCAGAAAGCCATAAAATATAATAAATTTCTTAGTCTGTTATATATATATATATATTATATATATATATATATATATATATATATATATATATACACACTTACCATAAATTTACTTGTTATTTAGAATTAAAAGTTTTTTCCTAAGGTTAATATCTATATAATATATATATGTACATATATTTTACTTCCTATTAGGATTAGCATGAAATATGCATGATTTTAGGATTACATTTTCATGTAATAATCAGGTGGTGAAGGGTATGATAATACATAATTTTATGTGTGGAGAAGGATAAAAATGTTTGTGCAATTTAGAAGTCTTTCTTGTTGAGTGCTGCATCATTAATTTGGTGTTTATAGTAGTAACTCAAAACCCTAAGATACTTGAGATGAAAGTCTGTTTATATTCTAACTGCAAGTTAATCATTTTTTTAACTATGATTAAAATTCATGTCAGAAACATTGTAAGAAATTCATGATGAAAATTAGTTAGTTTGTCTAAAAATGTGACAAAATACTGATCTTCATGGTTTTGACCGCGTAGCCACAATTTATTGTAATGTGCATGTTCGAGGGTGCGAAATAATAGGGAAAAATATTAATCTTATGCACCTATATTTATGTCGTTTTGAATCAAGAGTTAGGCCTATTAGTGAAAGACAATCACTTGGTATTGGTCTAATATGGTTTTAATCCATACATATTGGGATTAAAATTAGTGCTATCACAACACACAATGGAGGAAGCCATGCACTTGGTATCCTTAAACTATTTCATTTTTTATCCATCCAATTTTGGATTAAATCCAAAATCCCCAAGTATTAAATTTATTAGTATTTGACCCAAGTTGATCCTAGGAAATTTGTGAAACTTATTAATAGGATTGGCTATAAAAATTAGAGAGATGTAGAGAAGGGGAGATGAAGAGAGTCATATGAGTTGCAAAAAGAATTTTTATTGTTAAAAAGTAGAGAAATTGAGATAATAAGTTGTGTTCTACTCTTATATGTTGAATCCCCTATTTATAAGTAGGGTAGTTGCATATTTATTTAAAGATGCTACATTAGAAATTGGCATATAAGAAACATAATAAAAATTTAATAATAGTTTAACATAAAATCAAACATTGCTAGGTGAATAAATTTGATTACATATTAAATACACCTTATGCATAAATTGTCAAAATAATGAGCTAACCAATATAGAGTTACTTAATAATTTTAATAGACTTAAAATGGTTATCATAAATAGCCATGTTGATATATTAGAGAAGTTCATGTGCATGGTTGAGTATATTATAGTTGGTGATTCTTCTTGACAACCAAAATTTTTTTAAGTGCCAAATAATTGTCCTTGAGGGTTTGTTCATCTTAAAGGTTGTTTTTATTGTGAAAACTAAGTTCATCATCCTAAAAGACTAGCTGATCTTAAGGGATGAGTTGAACTAGTTTTTAAGAAAACCATAATTTCTTAATGAGTTAAACCTATTTTTCTATTGAATTCAATCCTAAGATGAATTCAAGGTATTAATCCAACTTGATTAACCTAGCAAAATGATCATTGGTGTCTATTCAATTCCAAATTTTCAAATATGATGTAACTAAAAATAATAAGAATATTTAAAATATAATTTATTCGAAAGAAGATAAAAATTTTAAATATGTCGAGTAAAAACTATCGAAGGATACATTAAGCAAAGATACATTAAAAATAATAATTTCGCAAATATTATGCAAATACCAAGCCTTACTCATCTTAATTTTAATTAGATGTAACTTTTGGATAATGCATGATCTTAGATAAGCCTCACGTTATTTCTCTATTATGTCTTACACATCCTAAATTTTAAATTTTTAGTGGTAAGATTTCTCTTTCACTCGTATTGTACATTTTATTGTAGATGAGTGGGTTTGAGTCCTAAGACTAGATCCTTTGTATTTTTAGTACTTGGAAAGTACAATACTTGACTCATATAAATTTAGGAAGAAAAGTTAGATTGGCTTAGTATCTTAAAGTTTAAAGAATTATTCAATTTGTACTTAAGTACCTCTTAACTTTCTTATGTTAATGAACTTGTTTGCTGTCTAATATATATTTAACATTTTGCCAGAGATTTTGTATTAATATAAAACATGATTAAAAAAAATGCTTATCTCTTACAAGGAACTGCTTCTTATTTATATAGACCTTATTATAAAGAAAGTTAGAGTTTTAGGATGATTGCTTAAGTTCAAATGAGTATGAGTCTTAAGCAACACATAATATTTTTATTGCATTTTATAATATATGTTTTTAAAGTTAGGAAACTTCAATTATAACCTTGAAATGATAAGTTTTTCTTGGTTAAGTGTAGCTTAGAAAAATGTTTCATTAACATAGGCAATGTGCTTACTTACATATTTGAAACTTATGTATTATAAGTTTGAAATTTGATTTGAGTTTTAAAAGACAACTTCTTTGATGCTTTTCATTGCATTTTATCTTTTTTTTTTTTCTTATTAAGTTTAGAAAAGTTTTTTATGAAATTTTTTTTTTTCGAGTCTGACATAATTACCATGTTATTGAGCTCCTCATTTGATTTTTCTTTTTTATTTTTTAAATTGTTGAACGAGTTGAACTTTCTCATGTGTGACTTTCCCCATATACTTGGTTGAATTCCAAAATTGAGTTCCTTGATTATTTATCAAATTTTGTAACTACTTGTTCAATTTCCTCAATGAGCTATCAATTCACAATAAAGTTTTTTAATTTTTCATCCCAATGTATTCATTCACTTCCAATTTCTCTTTACTTTGCAATTACAAAACCTGGCTTTTAATCCTTAGTATCAACCTTTGCTCACCACATCTTAAAATATGTTAGCTCCACATTCTTTGTGGTTGTTACATAGACCTCACTAATAAGATTCACAAGGAAAATGAGAGAGATGGAAAGAAGAAAACATAAAATAATTTTTGTGATTATTTTTAGTCAAAAAGTTGAGAACTTGAGGTAATAATTCATGCCCTAACTTTTCCTTTGACTCCTTTACTTGTAGGTGGGGTGAAAATTAACATGGCTCTATAGAAATGTACATTAATCAAATGATAAAAGCTTAGAATTAGCCCTACACCATAAAATAAATGTTTGTTACTTCCATTTATTTTACATTAATATCATCTTGGATGACTTAAATTGTTATAAGTAAAAAATTTTCTTTTGATGACTGCAAGCCTAAGATAAGCTAAAGTTTGCATTCTAAAACTTAATTAAGCTAACCATGTTGGTCAACAATATTGTGACATAACTATTATATTTTTGAGGCAATTGGGACTAAAATCTCATGTTTTGTTGCATTTGAAACTAGTAATGTATGACTGTAACTACTGGCTAGCAGCTTAAGAAATAATGAAAAAAATTAGAACTAATATTGAGGTTAATTATAAGTTAGGCATTAGAGCCCAAGCACAAAAGGTACTATTTTACACTAATCCTTTTTTTTTCTCTCATTATCAGCCATGGAATTATTCCATATATCACATTTTGCATAGCGAAAAAGTAGTCTGCAGCATAAATAAACAATGTTTTTTTTCCTAGATTGTGATGGAACATTAAATCTCATATTATAGGGTCCAAAATTATAATTTTGATGAAACAATGGAGTCAAAAATTAATTTTTCTTTATTTATGTTTCAATTAGTGCTCTCTTAAACAAAAATGATCACTGCAATCTAATTCTCATTACATGATTGATTCATTTTTTATATAAATTTAGAGTGATCAATTTTGTTCGTTGTTTTTTTATTATTGTTCTTAAAACAGGTCTGATTGGTGTATTTTGTAAGCTTTCTATTTTTTGTTTTTAAAAATAAATTAGCATGTTTTTGAAAACACTCAAAATAACATTTTTGGTCGTTTGGAATTACTTCTGTTTTTTATTTTACATTGTTTTATTTATGTTTTCATTTGAAATAAAAAATAGTTTTTGAAAATAATCAAAACACCTAAAAATAAATTTAAGTGGCTATAATAATATGTTAATTTGTTTTTAGAAGCAAAAAATAAAAAATATTTTAAAACACATTAAAAAACATATTTTTAAAAATCAAATGAAAAATAAAAAATAAAATTGATCCAAAAAAATTCTCCACTTTTGAATCATTTTGTTTGGAATGAAAACATAACAAATATGTTTTGTTTGGGAAGAAAACATAAATAAAGTAAAAATAAAGAGTAAAAACTATAAAACAAAAGTAATCCCATCAATAATCCCTAAGGATTAATCTCACTAATAAGACAATCAATTAAGAATTTTCATGCATTAGAAGCTTAATTCATGGGTAGTCATTTTTAATTAACTTTATCCTTTTTAATTTCTTATGCTATAAATTTAGATGATATATATATATATATATATATATATATGACTTGAAAGCTCAAATCTTTCTAAATGTTTTTTGGCAGACTATGTCAATTATAATGGCTTCTTTTATCTCCTAATATTCCATGTAAATATTACTATTAAAATAAGGTTGATGAGTGATGACCAAGATGGCCGAAAATTTCCATAACCTACTTCGTCCTCATTATGTATAATTTAATTTAATATAATTTAAATTTAGATATTTGAATCACTGTGGATTACATTAATGTATCATTAATATCATATTTAAGCATCCGGTCAATGTCTTCAACCAGAAGTACTCTTCATTTTCCTCCAAGAAGAGAAAAACTTTATGTAATATTCGTAAAGGAAACTTCGTGTCGCTTCGTATGATTGGTAGCGATGCACAAAAATCAAATTAAAAAGCTTCTAGCACACAAATTGATGCATTAGTTAATATTGACGAAGAAAAAAAAATTATTATGTGATTTATCCAGATGTATCTGGACTTCATGTACAATGAAGTTGTATGTCTTATTATACAAAGTCTACAACATTGTTGTACATAAAATTTAGATGCATAAAGATAAAACACTTAATATTCTCTCTAGCAAAAAATGACCGCACTCAAAATTAAAAAAGAAAGTGAGAAATATTTGCATACATATCACTTAATTCCTATGTATTTACATACCTAACATCTAAGTTTCAGTTTATATATATATATATATGTGTGTGTGTGTGTGTGTGTGTGTGTGTGTGTGTGTGTGTGTGTGTGTGTGTGTGTGTGTGTGTGTGTGTGTGTGTGTGTGTGTGTGTGTGTGTGTGTGTGTGTGTGTGTGTGTGTGTCGTGTATTCAGATTAGTTGGTCGGGAATCTGCTTGTCAGTTATAAGTCCTCTCTGGTCTGGGGTTCGATTCCCCCGATGGAGAGTGTGGTACTTGAAAGTTAGGTGCATCATGAATGACCAGGACTCGTATATATATATAGAGAGAGAGAGAGAGAGAGAGAGAGAGATTAATTGATTATTATTAATTTTTTTTATTTTTATTTGGAAATATGTAGAAGTTATTACCGTTGCACGCACCAAGGATGCAGTGTGAAGAAACAAGTTCAGAGACTATCAAAAGATGAAGGAATTGTGGTTACGACATATGAGGGGATGCATACACATCCTACTGAGAAAAACTCCGATAACTTTGAGCAGATTTTGAGCCAAATGAAAATCTACTCTAGACCTTGAACTCATTTGCATTAATTTCAGCTACCAACTTAATGGCTTGTTGCTGTAGTACTATTTCTTTATTTGTAAAGTAAGCTCTTGTTTTGAAATAAAACTTATATATTATAATGAGCATGTCAGCTTTTTATCAATCATCATCGTCATGGAGAAGAGGAAAATATTACGTACTTTGAAAAAAATACGCGACCTTCATGAATCCGCACCTTCGGTCATACATATGATAACCGTATGTAATATTTTCTCGTGGAGAAGAGTATTGAATTGATAAGAGATGATAAGCTACTCTAAGCTTATGTGGTTACAAGTTTAACAAAATCATAGGCTTTGTTTCATTAGTTGGAGGCTCTTAAAACATCAATAGTTATCCTTATATATAAGCCATTTTAAGGAAGAACATATATGAATATGCTTTCAATTATGACCAATAATGGAGTTCATGTTATAGTAGCACCAATTATAGATTCACACCCAAAATGTCAATATAGACATTGCATGGAGACAGAAACCTACTAGGTAACTTGTTCATTAAAATTGCAAAAAGTCTTGCCATTTTAAGATTTTGACTGGATTCAAGATTTATATAACAAACAGGTTAAAATTTAAAAAATATGTGAATGTGTATGAGGAGCCAAAGTTGGCAATATACCTTGTGTATGTTGATGATGATGATGATCATATATAATACTTTCATAATAATTATCTAGCTTTTGTTTTTGAACCAAATTGACAATATGAAGTCATGGATCTAATTCAACTTTATTGGAAACAAATAAATATTCAAAATGAACCTAATAAGCTATATGAGCACAGATAAATGTGGTGGTGATGAAATATGTTGAGCAACTCCACAAAAGAAAAAAAACATCTCTATTGAATAAGAAGAGTTCAAAAATCTATTATCAAAAGCTAGAAGTAAGAGCATTTCTTATACTGCTCGAAGCTGAGCCAAAATGGCGTCACGACATAAATTGCAGCACAAGGGAGCACGAGTTCCCAATAAACCGAAAAATACTACACCACGTGTAAACCCAACACAATATACTGTGATTGGTCCACTTTACACGTGTCGCTCCCCTATAGGACTCCGCATGTCCTAATATTTTCTCGAAATAATCACAACATTAAGATAAAGTACTTAAAATCTTTCCTTTTAATGACCATTATTCTATCCTTTACATGTATATTTTATATACATTCATTATAACCAAAATCCACCAAATTTTGCATGCAGCTCGGAGAACTTGTTAAAATTCCTTTCTTTAGAATATATCCAGTAAAATTGGAGAAGTTTTTGCTTACTTATGTTGAGGTTCTATTATAACATTGATATTAAGCTGGATAATATGCTGCAGGACTTATCCTTCTTATGATTATATCTTTTTGATTTATATCTATCATCAAAATTCATTATAAGTGTTATCACTCAAATGTGCATATGGCTCAAAATACTTGTTAAACTTTCTTTGCTTGGAATATAAGTAGCAGAAATGAAGAAGGGTGCACTAAACTATGTCTAGGTTCCAAAATAACTTGGCATGAGGCTGAGCTAATAAGTTGTGAGACTACTCCCTAAATATGAGCCAAAATGCACCCATAGAAGAACCTTGCAGGTGCTGCCAATGTGCCCCTAAGATATATTCTTGTATATATGTCAAGGCCCCTAAGAAAGATGCTAGTCAGCACATAGGGAAAGCCTCTCACTCAAATGAATTTCTTTTGAAGAAAAGATAACATCTAAAAAAATTGCAATCTTTTTTTTTTAAAAAAAATTACTAAACAACTATCATATCATGGTGAGTGTAAACATCCTAGAAACTATAATTATTATAATTTAAATTACTTAAAGTTTATTTTTATTGTGAGTGTAAAAATCCTAGAAACTATAAATATTATAATTTAAATTACTTAAAGTTTATTTTTATTAATTTTTCCTAACTTACTGAGTTCAAAATATTTTTCATTTTATTTTACTCACTTTTATTTAATTACAAAAACAACAAAGCCTAATCCCACTACGTGGGGTCGACTACATGAATCCTTTTTCTCCATTGTGTCGAATTTAGTGTCATATTTTCATTTAGTTCTAATAAATTAAGATTATTTTCTATACAATAAGCCTAAGTCTTCCTAGGTTTACTGTTTACCTCTGCCTTTCTTAACATAGGTCAAATCTAGAACATCTACTCTCTGAACCAGATCATCAGATAGTCGATGCTTAATGTGACCAAACCATCTAAGACGACTTTCTCTAATTTTGTCAGCCACAAGAGCTACACCAACCCTATCACAGATGTATTCATTTCATATTCTGTCTCTAAGTGTAAAGCCACTCATCCACGTAAGCATTCTCATCTTGACAACACTTAACTAGTATTATGCTTCTCTTTTAAAAGGCCAACATTCCACGCCACAGAGCATTGCAATAGAGCAATGCAGGCCTCACCGCCGTCTTATAAAACTTTCCCTTCAATCTAAGCGGTTTTTTTCTATCACACAAAAGGCCAAAAGCATTCCTTCACTTCAACCAACCAACTTGAATTCTACTATTAACATCCTCATCTATATCACCATCTCTTTGAAAAACAGACCCGAGATATCTAAATCGAGCACACCTTTTAATAATTTGATCACCCAAAGTTACACTTCTATCACTAGAGCTACTACTACTTAGAAAATTTGGTTATTTCAGTATTAAGTCTTCTAAGTCATTCCAGAATTTATCTGTAGACCCTATATATGAACCTACTTGAAGAGCATAAGCACTTATAATATTAAAAATCTTAGTATCACTTTTATTTAATTAATTATGAATTTTTTAAGTTATTTAGATTTTTCTTGATTTAATTAAATCGAAAAAACCAGATTTTCTACTTATTTGATGTGGCTTCCCATCAGCCTCGGATTCGTTGAACTGTCCACATCACTCCGTTGTTTTCTCTGCTTTCAGCATAAGCACTGAGCTGGCTTCGAACCGATGTCCCTTTGTTCTCATGCTTCAATATATAATTTAATTGTGATAGTTTTTTTTTTCCAAATACACGAAAATGAATGAAATTTGTTCATCATCCCCATGAGGACAAAGAACTGAGACCATCCATAGTCTCGCGCTTAATTCAACTGATTCACCGCACCAAAGTCGAATCAAATTGATCTTAAATTTTCATCTAAGCCTAGCTAACAAATCTATACATCCAGCTACACATGAATTTATAATTCTCTTCAAAAAAAAATCAAGCTTGAAGGCAATTTCTGTGTTTTTGATCATCATCTTAGCTCAAGATGTGAGACAACGATTAGGTTTTTATGAAGACAACCCCCTTGAGTCAACGAAGCTTCCTAAAGAATAGATTTGGAGCTTCCTGCCCCTTTGTGTGAATTCTATCAAGAGGTGATTTGGTTTGGTCTTATATAAAGTTGGAGGTAGTAGGAATTGAGAATTTTTATTGGGTAGATGGTTTATTTCTATGAAGCTAATTGGATTGTCAATTGGAAGTTTTGAGGTGTTTGAGTGCAAGAACGTGAAAGGTCCTAGTGCGGGATTGATGAAACTAGGTTTGTAGTGGAGGGAAAGACTCATGGATGACGAGAATGGATTGGTGAGGCTTGTGGGAATTTTTCAGGAGCACTAAATTTGAGAATTGGTTGAGGGAATCAAAAATATTTTTAGGCTAGATTATATATCAGGTTTGTGTCATATATGGTCATCAGGGAGCTCAAGATTGTCTAGGAACGCTTGAGTATCACTTGAGGTGAGTTAGGCGATGTTCAGGTAGGTTGGGGCTGGGCTTTGGTGTAGAAAAATTTGGCTCCCCTTCTTTTGAGATTTTGGGTAGAGAGGCTCCAATGGCCATGGAGGGAGCATGAGGGGAGCTTGGGGTCCATTGTTTAAGGCTCTAGCTTAGTGGCTAGTGTAAGATTTGGTTGGATTTGATCCTCTTGGTCATGAATTAAACTTGGGTGGCTTGAGGCACTGATCCCAATATTTTTTATATGTAAGGATTTATGAAGTTGACACCACTACTTGAAGATTTTAATCCCTAGCAATGACGCCAAAAACTTGAACCCAAATTTGATCCCAAGCAAAGTAATATTTTAATTATATTTTTAAATTGTAATGATTTTACACAAGTATATGTATCGTTATCAAGTAATATATGACTTTTTGATTAAACCCCGAATATCAATCCCACAGAGATCGATGTTAATCACAGCTGCTTTCAAGAGAAGTTCTAGTCTAGAATAACACACCCTAGCTTGGAAGGTTGATAAAGGTTTGGTTTTGATTATATCCTACAATTATCACCACAATACTACTTCTAATCCTAAACTAAAATACTTAGTGAAAATCAGAAAGTGAGGTTTAATATATTAAAAGTACTCTTCCTCATGTAATGAAATTAGTGACATATGTAAAAGTAAAACAAGTAGTGAGAAAGATTGTAACAAATAGGAACAATTATATTCTTTACCCTTACTAGAGATGCTATAAAGAACATTGGTTAATCTAAAGTTTGAATAGTTCTGAAAACGAGCTAGACATAAAAGATACTAACTCTCACTCTAGAGTTCACTCTTATTCCTCCACCTGGAGGCTAACATCTCGCATCAAAACCTAAAATAATAGACCAAATTAGGGGGTTTTAGCTCGTCACTTTGAAGTCCTCTAATTCTACACCCTTCAAAGATTATTTCCCTATTTATTTACACTCAACCATATGGACTACATTCTCATTCATACAATCTCATGTGATTCTACCACATTTGATTGAGACAATATCATCATTGATCTTACATATTCTCACAACATATTTTAACATGCAAGTTGATCAAATTTACATGTAAATGAAAAACAAAGTAAAATCATCACAAAATATTTTCACTCTACTCAATTTTATATCCTATAGTTTTATATCCTACACATGCATATTAATTCATTATAAGAGGGAAGAGTAAGGAAAACTACTCACTACATGTGGAGAAACAATAAGAATTTTTCATTG